AAGAGCACACAATGGTTGTTCTGATGTCGACTCACTTTGCAGCCTAATTCCACCGCTTTGTCACGACTACTTTCCTTTTCATGATTCAGTCGTGCAGCTTTTCTTCCGTCACGTCATTAGGAACGTGCATTAAACCTGATCTCAGGCTTTCTAAAGTGAGATGAAAGCGTTCTCCTCTGTTAGATGAGCGTTGTTTTCTGTCAGTGCTGAACGCTGTCAAATAGTTTTCCTCTTGGCAGTCCCGTCTGAGTGTTTGCTGCACCTCTTTCACAGCGCTGATGTTTAATTTAAAAACTTGTCACAGTTGAAAGCTTGCAACAGCATTTCCAAATCCACAGTTATCGAAGGCCGTGAAGCGCGGCACTGCGGAGACTTTACTGAAGCGCACAAGCTCGAACTCTTCTCAAAGCCGCGATTCAAATAATGAGGACGCCGAGGTCCCCGACTGCTGCCGAATTGTCCTCGTAACAGCGTTTGATATTCTCATTGTGGCAAAAGGCTGAACAACCGACGGTTCCTGTCTCATTTCGCTGGTTGATTCCTTCCACCGAAATGTCTCACATGAAGGAAATGAATTAAGCAAATCAGCCCAACGCAGCAAGTTAGGGAGTCCTTTCATCTGTCAGCCTGACAGACGGAGATTAAACTGAGAGTTTGTGTGAAGACAGAACCGGTTGTGTCACCGAGGATCAGGTTGCTTGATGCTGCCGGTGTAGTGAGTCCTATATGTGAAAGCACCTGCATGTGTATACATACGCAGATACACAAAGAGGCATTTGCGGTAGTTAACACTTGTGTGTTTCCTAAATCCCGGCATACGTCTTTGTTTTGTGTGTGTGTCTGACACTTGAGAAATAAGTGCCGGAAACCCTTCATTCCCCGTCAGACAGACTAACGGACGGACGCACGGTGAGACAGCAGGTATTCTCAGCTGTCAGTCATCCTGTCGGGCGGAGGTGGAGAGCAGCCACACTGACAGCTGGGCTTGTTAGCCTATTAGCTCGGTTTAATTAAAGGCAGGACAGAGAGGCGGGATCACAGGAGGAGGTACGAGGGTATGTCGAACATTTAAAGTGTGAATTTCAACTCGATCGCAATTCACTTAATGATTAATTCTGGTTTACATATATACATTTCACTTCAACGTTTCTGCTTTTCCGTCTTTTATGCTTATAATAGTGCATGTGCGGTATCATAGCAACCGCTAATGAATCGCCACATTAAGACGCTATCCATCACGGCAAAGTGGAATAAATTAAGCATGTTTACACGTGACTGGTATTCTGCAGGGAGTTTATGCTGAATGTTATAAATCATTTTATTGGATTTATGTTCTTATTCGGTAAAACTGAGGCTTTATTTTTATGCATCTGTATCTCCCACTTCTGTCGCCACCCTGTTATGAAAAAAAATAAATAAGGTGTTGTCTCATTTTTTTTTAAAAAAAAGAAGGGGGAATTAGGTAATTTTTCTTAATGTGTGAGTAGGCTCTTGATCATCTGAGCTGGAATGTTTATTTTAAAATGTCAGACGAGGACATTTTCCACATAATTACTGCTGATCTCCATAATTATTACAAATCACTGAACATCAGGTATTTGTTCCATGTGAGCAGGTTTTTAAATTAACTGACAAATATGCTTTGATTAGTCCTGTGCCTCCAGGGGAGTTTTGGTTCGTGGTAATCAATACCGCTGTACCCCGGAAATATTATCCTCCTGCGAAGTAACGCAACTTTTATTATCACTGCTACAATGTGCAGTAAAATGTATTTTGTACTAGCATCAGTTTCAATAAAAAAATAGGTGCATGTGTGTTTGCACAGTCCGGTTTTAAAGCCGGTGAGAAGTGCAGTAAGGTGATTGTGAATTGCAAATATGATCTTCCAGGAAACTGATTTACTCTCCAAACTGCAAGCAGACAGGGGCAAAAGCAAATAACACACCTACACCCTTACAAAATAAAGGACAGCCCCTACAACAAAACATACAACTGTGTACGATCTATAGAAGAATCCTTTTAGCCCGATCTTGTAAATATACAAAATACTTCTACATTATCTTTGGTTTTTTGAAGCTAACTCCAGCAACCCTGTGAGATTTTCATGGATCTACATTTACAGATTCATGAAACTATGAGCTTGTGTATTTGCTACTGAGAGTTTATAGAAGAAATAAAGAGGGGGGGCTTTTATTTTGAAGTGACTGTTTGCTTACCCTGGGACCTGTTTTTTCCATGTATCCTTCCTTGAGAAAGTTGCGGGTAAGTTTGGGTACCAGCTGAAAGCCACAAGCAAAAGGAAAACAAAGAGATTAGGAAAAAACAAACAACATCATTAGGAGACACATTTTTTCATGGTTGTATGCTAATTCTGTAAAAACATACCTGCCATCATGAGCAGGAAGCATCCCAGTAATATTATAAACATCACTGACACGATCTAACAAACATCTGTATAGATCTACATTTAAGGTGTGTGTGTGTGTTTACCTCAGCATCAGTCGCTCCAGGAAAGGCCACCTTTAGATAGTGGAGCTGAACTGCACGGATTGAATTGAACCAGTCGACGATCTCCTAATGAAGACAGAGAGGTTCAGAGTCAGACCGTGAGGAAAGGCAGTCCTCTATAGGTTGCTCCTTCTGTCTTTGCTCTTCTCTGTCATTAAAAAAAACGACGATAACACCAGGGGCCTGAACTACGAAGCGAGATCAACCTACCCAGGATATCTTTCAGAGATCCGGCTTGACTAATCCTAACAACCGCACTCAGGATAACCGATCCTACGACGGTGGCTATCAACTCTGTAAGTCAACCCAAGTCAGCTTTGACATTCTCTGGAGTCAACAGGAAAAAAATGAATGAAGGAAGACAGGAGCTCATGGAGATCCTCGTCAGGGGGCGCTAAGGGGTTTTGCCGGTCCTGAAAAACCCTCAAACTCCTCAGTGATCTGCTCACAGTTCACACTCTGATGTGTAGTGGGTCTTCTATCAATGGTGATGCCATTTTGTTGAGAACTGCTTCGTTTTCTACTTCTTCTGAAGTTTTACGGGACAGAACTGATTTTCAGAGTGTTTGTGTACCCAGTGATCTCAATCTCCTGCCCAGCAGGTTAGTTGTTCAGTGTAAGTTACCATGGTGATGTACCCCGGGAAGAAGTGAGCCACCACTGTAGGACGGAAAACCCAGGATTTAACCTGAAGTTACCTCGCTAACCCTAAATCCTGCTTCATAGTACAGGCCCCAGAGGTCTGTGTGAAGTCTCTGAGGCTAACATAGCTCTGTCACCCCCATGAAACATGGTAGGAATTTTGAAAACTTCTCTTCATCTTACTTGCCTAAATATGATGTCTTGATGATGTGTTATGGATTAAACTGTCCTGTTTGCTCAAATAGTTTCCTGTTTCTGAATCTTTTGACAGCATCTCGCAGGCTTCCATAGCAGATAAAGTTTTCACTTGGTATAGAGATGGTTTAGCCGTCCGTCCGTCCATCATCATGGGAAACGTGAAGTCTCTCCCTAACGAGCTAGAAGAGCTAACGGCGCTGACCCGGCTGCAGTGGGAGCGTCGGGAGTGCAGCCTTAAAGAGCAGTGCTGCACGAAGGATGCTGAACTGCTGGCGGTTGGTTTCACCTGCCGAGGGAGTGTTCGCACGTCCTGGTGATTACAGTTTACATCCCTCCTCGGCTGATGCTGCTGCAGCCGTGAACTCATCCATTGTTCAGTGTCCCAGCTGCAAACATCACACCCTCAGTCTCTGATGGTCATCTCAGGAGACTTTAATCATACATCGCTCTCTACCAGTCTCCCTATTTGTGGACTGCCCATCAGGGGACGGTGGGGCCTTAGACCTGCTGTGTGCGAACACCAGGATGCACATTACTTAATTACTGTTAACTTCTTGTACTTTCTATGTTTTTGGATGCTGCTGTTTACAATAATTTCCCAGGTCTGGGATAAATAAAGTACATTCTATTCCATTCTATTCTAGTTGATGTTTATGGTTGGAAAGTATATAATAGGTTACAGAATCAGGCAGGAAGTTAGACTTTGTGAACCTTCTGGTGAAGCAGCTGATTTAAGTCATGTCACCATCATTTTGAAATGTTCAAAATTTCCCCAATTTGATTGCAATCATGAATTTGGGATATTTTTATTTAAACAATTGGCTTCAAAGTAGTAGTAACTGTATTTTTCTAAGTATGCTTAGATGTTTTTCCAGTGTCTAATTTTTCAAAGCTATTTAATGCATGTTTTTATGTTTTTTTTTGTCATATGTAAAACACAAAAGGCCAAAATAAAGTGCATCCTAACCTCCCGTGTGCAAGGCTGTCTTTAAAGGAGCAACAGTTTTTCTTTATTTTTCTTTTATTACCCAACAATATTGTCTTCAGATCATTTCCACCTTTCAGAGGTGAGCATGACGTAGTGATTTAAAGTGCGGATTGTTTAATAAAATGTCAAAATGCCAAAATGATGTGTTCATATAAAGTTGTATCGACTGGAACAATGACTTTTTAAAATGAGAAGTTATTTATTTTGACGCAGTGAACTCCCACGTCTCCGATATCTGACAGCCACAATCCTCCACCCGATGACAGAACAGAGTGGCTCCATATATTTCAATGTGTTTCTGAACGACACAAACTGATGGATGTTGTGCTTGAATGTCATCTGCTAATGGATTCCTTCAGCCGGCAAAAATTGGGACGGATGGTTTCGAAAAAGGTTTGGAGACTCGCCCACAACAATGAGAGCCACGTAGAATAAAGTGATGGGCCGCTTACATTTTCTGTCATCATATTATTGTGTCCAACCAGCTTGAAGTTTAGCTTCTAGTCCCACAGTGTTTAAGTGCAAAGTAGTCATCATGCATTTACATATTGTACGTACCTTGCCACTGTCGTGATAAATGAAGATGTTGCGGGTGCTGTAGTCTTTGAGGTAGGTGATCTGCAGGCCGTTGGGGTTCCCTATCTTCTCTGGCTGGAAGGTTGCGTTGATGGTGTCCACCTTGATCACTGCTTTGGGCTCCTTAGCCTGCAGGAGAGAAGGAGGAGGAGGAGGAGGAGGAGGAGGTAGTAATATGTAAGGTAGGAACCCTCTTCATGCAATTTTGGACAAACACAAAACTGATGATGGTAAATGTGATTGTGTGCGCTTGAGGAGAGCTCGTCCTCATCCTGCGCTTGCAGAAGTGATGCCTGAGGCCACAAATCATGCAACATGTTGGAAAGTGGAATCAAATATTAAAAAAAAGTACATGTCAGCTGCTGAACAAACAGATCAAGAGACAGTTAAATCAAAGTTTATTTTCTGTATGTTTTGATCTTGACGTTGTTTTTATGTAATAATAATTTATGTTTTACATTCTGTACATTAGGGCTGCATTTGGTGGTTAGCACCGTCGCCTCACAGCAAGAAGATCCCTGGTTTGCATCCCATTTAGGACGCCCGGGATCTTTCTGCATGGAGTTTCCATGTTCTCCCCGTGTAGCGTGGGTTCTCTCCGGGTTCTCCAGCTTCCTCCCACACAGTCCAAAAACATGTTGAGGTTAATTAGCGATTCTAAATTGTCCGTAGGTGTGAATGTGAGTGTGCTTGGTTGTCTGTCTCTAAGTGTAGCCCTGTGATAGACTGGTTACCTGTCCAGGGTGTCTCCTGCTTTCACCCTGAGTCAGCTGGGACAGACTCCAGCCCCCCATGACCCTCGTGAGGATTAAGAGGTGTATAGATAATGGATGGATTTTTTTGTTTGCAAAAAAGTCGTGCTCTTATCCCACCAAGCGATACTTTTATTTTAAAACCTTCAAAGACATGTAATTCACTCCTGTATTGCATAAAGCTCCAATTGCAGAAATCCTCAAACTAAATTAAAGACTTAGGAGGGCTGGTGCTGCATTAAAGCACTGTCCACACCCATAAAAGATAGAAAACATATCAAAAGTCACCATAGCAACCATGTTTCACAGACCTCTCTGACCCCAAACAGAAATAATATTACATTTTGTTTAATGAATATCAAATAGCATTTCTCTCCAGCATCTAAGCAGACACTGGGGTTAAAAAGCAACAGAAAAGCTCAGACACGGTAATCAAAATCAACTCTGTTATCAAAGCAGTCACGGATTCCTTTGCTGCCACTGTTAAACCAAGAAAAAAAAGAAGTTTCTGGAATGGATGGCATCGAGGCGAGGGGGCCTGTATTTGTGCTCTTTCTCACCATGAAAATAATATCCAGGGCTATTATCTACACATCAGTGTGTGTCACTGATAACCATCATTTCCAAGACCGACACTAATCCGGGCAAACCTGGTTATGGATGCCGCTGCTTTAATCTGCAATGACTTGAATTTAAATGGGCGGCTACGGAGGCAGAATCTATCTGCGTGCTTCGTCTGTCCTTGAGTTTAACAGAAAACTCGCACAGCTATGCCTATCGACAAGAGATTTGACAGCTGATTACATTTGACCCCTGTCGTCGGTGCGAGCGTCGACTCTGGAGCGTGATAAATCAGCAGGAAAAAGTGAAATGAATCAGCTGAGGAGCCATCAGATGGACTGGAGTCACACTTTTAACTTATACCTGAATATTTTACCCACTTCAAGGCTCCTCTGATAAAATCTTAAGGACCTGAGCGGCAGTAATAGACACTTTCATTTTTATCAAGGGGATGTTTTTGATTTATTGTCTGCTAGTCGTTCAGAGAATACAAAGCAACAGAGGCATATTTAGGAATAACATTCACAGCAAAAGAAGGCATTTGTATGCTAAGACATCACCTTAAATGCAACTAAATTCCAGAGTGGCAGTTCTGTTTTGTTTTTTTTTTCCCCTCAGTCTTTTTGAACGTATTATTCCCACTTCCCCTGAGCTGGTTTACTGTGACAAACAAAGTGTTCCCAGTGCTTCCAGGCCTAATTGGTTTGGGTGGGTATACAGCATAGTGAATCAGCCACACTGACAGAGAGGACAGACTGCTGGTTAAGCTTGTCTGAGCACGCTCAAACGCTGTGGAGGGAGCAACTATTTATTTCGATGTCTCTTGGTAGGTGTATATGATTACAAAGCCAACCGTGTGCATGCGTGGAAAAAAAAAAAAGTACAGCATCACATAAAGCGAGGAATTCTGTCTGTAAAGTTATCCTGTGATGTGGCTGCATGTGTGTGTGTGTGTGTGTGTGTGTGTGTGGGTGTTGCACATGTACAGGAAAAAAGTGCGCTTTCAACTCCATGTGGCCACCAAAAGTCTAATTAAAAGCCGCTCACGTCATATTTGGTAAAGTACTTCAAAGTCCCCTCCCGCTCGGAAAGGACGAATCGCCTGCTCAGGAACTGTCCGTTGTCCCGCCCCCTCTTCATCAACAAGCCGTCTCTGGTTCCTGCAGGAAACCAGCAGAGGTCATTCATTAGTTTTAATCATAGGCTGTGGATGAGAGGTGGACGTAGCCGATGTGGAGGTGAATAAAACCTGCGTTCCTTCTAAGAGCCGGCAGAGGACGACTCCCCTGGCTGAAAAGAAGTACATAAAAGCACATGAGGAAATTACCCTATTGCTCACTGGATTTGTTACCACAGTAAACATTTTTCTCATGACTTTATGGTCCTATACTTTCTACTACACAGTTACTGTAAATGGATGTGACACAGGATGCAGGGTGGCTCATTAACCGCCGTCTGTATGCAGATGTTTTTCTGTCCCTGTAACGCTGCTCTCCAACAGTTACTGAGTTTGTTGACAGTATGGTATGGATTTTGACATCAAATGCAATGCAAATAACAGTAATTTCATGATCATTAAAAGAAAGGGAGACAGAAAACGGTCATTTCCTGGTGTGGTATTGCCTTTAAGGTGACAGTAATCTGTCAGATGATCAGGATATGTCAGAAACTGTAGGCACAAGCATCCATGTTGGCCAGTAAATGTAGCTCGGGCTCAGACACTGTAAAACTACTTTGTTCCACACAATGGAGTAATTCAGTCATATGTGTTCAAACCAAAAACAATTCTGTAGAAAAGGGATGATACAGAAAGCTCCAGCTCCAAGTTCCTCAGGTTTGTTAGATATAAAACCCTGGAAGTCTGAATCTGTGTCTTTGAGACTGTCAGTGCACTTCTATGTTAAAATGCTCAGTCATGGTGTTGACTCCTTATTTTTTACTCCTGATGGAGCTGCACAGATAAAAGTGGGACCACCGGACTTAAAACTTTGGTTAGATAGTACTATGTCTACTACTGCACTACTGAACTATGAGATTGTATATAACCTTTAGCTCTATGTCAAGGTTGTGTAAATCTGCAAACGACCTTATCCTGACTTTAACTAGTCTTAAACTGAGCTCAGTCAGGTTCAACTCCAGCATGTGAAGCCTTCGCCTCGTCTGTATGTAAAGGCATGATCACTGAAAGTATCTCTTCATCTATTTTTGGATTTCATTATGTGATAATTCTGTGGAGCTCCCATTAGCTTTCTCCTTAACCCTAATCAGGACTTTCATGTTGCCATACGTAGAACATCTTTCTGGGCCGATTGGACCCCAAGAAAGAATGTGTGCAACATATTTGTTGGTATTCATTATAGACTTTTGTACTATGTTAAATACATTTTCTGATAAGTTGACGTATTTTTGGTTCCAAATGCAGGACAAATGTCCCTCTTTATATATGAAAAAATAAATAAATCTTCAAAAATAAAAAATAAAAACAATACCTGTCACCTAAACCAAATGGCCTGGGGTCCAAAAGAGCCCAAACGTCCTGAATAGGGTTAAAAAAGCTTGGATTGGATATGAATTGATAAAATAGACATTAAAGGAATGTATGTGAGAGAATGGCTTCCTTTGGATTATAAACAGTAGTCCACACACCAAGCAGCACCGTCGCTTTCATTATATCTAGACGGTATATAGTTTTCATATGTGCTTGTATGCATCGGTACACTCACCTTCCTCATAAGTTAAGCTGTTTCCAGGGTCGGTGAACTCTTTCCTCTCGTACTTGGCTCGAATCCACTGCTCCCTCAACACCCTGAACAAACACAAACACATGAAATGTCAATAAAGCTAGTTTGTAAGGCACCAGCTTTAGCAGACTAATGGTCTTATACCGTCTGTGGTAAATGAGGAAGAAGCTCAACAGCATGAACAGTCAGGCCTGAACCATTAAAGCAGAAACCCTTTGAAACAGTAGTTCTACAATGATTCTGTCTGACGTTGGAAGCCAGAACTCTTGTCATTTGGTCTGCATAACTAGAGATTAATATTTGTGTTTGGAATTTTGTATTTGCTAATTTAAGTTAGCTAGCTTTATTAGCTAGCCTTGATTAAGCACCCAAACAACAGCCTGTAATTAGTTAGATTTTGATTGTTGAATTTGACACTGTTGGCTAGTTGCTGCTAAACT